CAAAACAGCCCTTGTAGTAGCATCTGCACTCAATCTGGACGTATTCCAATATGACATACAGACCGCATACTTACATGCAAAATTAGATAAGGAAATATATGTAAGAGCACCACACAGTCAATACACTAATAAGAACGAAATTTGGTTATTAAATAAGAGTCTGTACGGATTAAAGCAATCCGGCAAAAGATGGTACGATTGCTTGGTAAAAGTACTTAAGACCATGGATTTCAACGCCACCACTGCCGATAACTGTTTCTTTGTAAAAAAGAGTAATGATCATATTGAATTTGTATTAATTTACGTGGACGATATTTTATACATTGGAAAGCATAAAGAGAGCAGGGAAATCTTTGTAAATAAGTTAAATGAACACTTCTCACTGAAATCTCTGGGTAAAGTAAATAAATACCTTGGTGTGCAAATTAACAAAACTAAAAGGGGATTCAAACTTACACAGAAAGATAAAATCATCGAACTCCTAAACAAATGTAACTTAAATAATGCTAAAACCTGTGACACCCCTATGCAAACTGATTTTCTTAGAAACACTGATGAATCTTCCCTGAGTTTAAAGACAACACATTTTACAGATCAGTTATAGGTTCACTCCTTTATATATCTAATTGGACTAGGCCAGATATTGCATTACCTCTCAATCTATTGTCAAGATATGTTAGTAAACCAACCTTGTATCATTGGGAAGCTGTCAAAAGAATTCTAAGATATCTGAAGGGTACATTAGATTTTTGTTTAATGTTGGAACCCAATAATGACAGAGAACCAAAAATTACTTGTTATGCTGATGCAGATTGGGCTGGTGATACAACATGCAGAAAGAGTACTTCTGGTTATGTTTTTCTATTGAATGATAGTCCAGTTTACTGGTATACTGGTAAACAAGAACTAGTGGCCACTTCTACTACAGAAGCGGAATATGTTTGTTTGTCCAAAGCTGCAAATAACCTTGTATGGTTCAATGATCTGATCACTGATGTTTGGAAGAAACCCACCTTACCATTTATTATGCATGAAGACAATAAAGCGGCCATTGAAATATCCAGATCCGATGCAATTGGACAAAGGTCCAGGCATATTGATATAAAGTTTAAGCATGTGAGACAACTGTCTCAAGACGGATTCATTAAAGCAATACATTGCGATACTTCTGAACAATTAGCTGACATATTAACAAAACCCTTACCTTCTAAACAACACAAATATTTAACTTCTAAATTATATGTATTATATTGTCCTGAATCAGAATGTAATTGGTGTTGTGTAACGAACCGGCATTTAGAGGGGGATTTGTCAGATGTAAATGCCTTATTCTCCAATGTGTAAATAATGTATATATGGAACATCAGAGGTTAACTTATTCTTTGGACTTTAATGTATTCATAACTTACCACTCCCATTCCTAGCTCCACCCCTTGTATATATAAGGAGCCACCCTCACCATTCTCGTTGCTTCTACCTCGAATATTCAGTGAATATAGAATGCCTATCATAATTAAAAAGAAATATATTTAAAGCTTTAACTTCTATTATCTTTATTGAGTCTGATCCTGAAAATATTGCAACAGAGTCTCTGCTTCTTTGGAGACATCTGTCATCACAGTTTTTTGGAGCCAAAAGTGTATTTAGGATTAGACTGCAAGTGGCAGAATAAGTAAAAAAAGCTTGGAAATAAATTGATTTCATTAGATTTTAAGGCTGCAGTCCTATGGTACCTGTGTGATCTAAAGATCAAAAGATCCATCAGAGCATTTCCTCCAGAGCCCGGAGAGTCAGCTCAGAATTTCAGAGACAGGGAAAGGAGTCACACATGAGATAAATGTATTTTAATATTAGCGTGTAAAGCAGTAGTGGGTTCCACTTAGCTTCGCTACTGGTTCAGAACTGGGAGCGTGTGCGTGTGTGTGCTCGCTTTGCTTCTGCATGGTGCTTCTGCACATGCGCAGAACCTTCTGTGTATGCGCAGAGCATCTGTGATGATGTCCTGGCCATTGGGCGGAGCCTCCTGCTGCCACCACTACCAGTTCGCCCAAACTGGGGCGAACCGGTAGAAACCCACCACTGATGTAAGCTATACAACTCTTGCATGTGGTATAGATTTCTTTCCTCTACATTCAATGGAAGGGAATTTAGGCTTGTATGTAAGGGGAAGTTGTGCTAGAATTGGATACCTCAAACAGGAAAGATCCACAGCCTTGGAGTCATTTCTGTAAATCCTCAAACTTTTTAGATTCATTAGTGATAGAAAGCAAAAGAATAGTATAAGAAACCCATCCCATTCCCATAGGATTTTCAGGGGTTTCACAAAAATACAAGCATTTAAGAATTCGCAATTCAATACAATCCAAATGCATCAGACAGAGGCCAGGACATTAAAAAAGAAAATCCAGGAAAAACCATCCAGAAAAGACTGGGGTGCCAATTGGAAGAGCTTCGTCTTTCACTTCTTTTGGAAGGTGGCTAAAATTAAGGATAATCCCATTTCCAGTGGAAGGCATTTCCAGAGGGATAACACTATTATAGAGAAGCAGGATCTCGGTGCCTTGGCTCATCGTATTTTCCCAAAGCAAGGGAATCACCAGCTGCTTTTCCTGCCAAAATCAACCCTTTGGCATCCTATAAAAGAGCACCAACCAAACTAGCTATGGAGTCACTGTAAAATAGTGCCCCCCTCCCATTTCCCAAGGTTTGCTAAGAAGGATACCATGATCAATGGGATTAAAAGCTGCCTAAAAAAGACCATCCAGATTCTAAGATCATCCACTGGTATAACTAAAGGGGGTCTCCACAATAGAACAAGGGATGAATCCTGATCGCAAAATTACACAGAATTCCATTATTTAAGGTAGGAGGTTCTTCACCATCTTCTCAACAATCTTCACTAAAAAGGAGAAGATTGGAGACTGTGCAACAGTTATCCAATATCTCTGGATACAGTGAGGATACCTTAAAATGGGGAGCTTACCACTTCCTCCTGCCTACCTGCCTTTACAAATGTGATTGTTTATGAGAAATCTGAAACATGTGTGCAATGTAGCAATTGTAGCAAGTGGTACTGTCCTAAATTTCTTCAATGGGACTTAAGTAGGTGAACACAAGATGCTACCTTGATTATTAGGCAGATCTCTTACAGATATACACACAAATATACTGTGCAAGTTGAAAAATGAAGAAGGTGGGAGGGACCGCAGTTGCTCTTGCAGAATTAAAAATATTTGTCAAGGTAGAGTGGATAGTTGAGTGAATTAGATATGTCTATGATTGTCTATGCATATGTACAGTGTTTGAACGTCCAGGTAGATGCATCTCAGTGCTTTGTTTGGAAGTAAACTGAGTGTAATTTATATGGAGATTGCACTGGAGCTGAGAAAGAGGGAGGTCTATCTCTAAACACAAATGATCAGCAGATGGGTTCTGCGATCAGATTATCAAATAAATGGATATTTACTTTGTCATGCAACATTCAGAGAAAGGTGATTCAGAACATGTTACTCAAGAAGGACAGGATTAAACTAATTCAGTTCTCCAGAATCAATATTCTAAAACCTAACTCCTGGAATTAGAACTCATTAAAGAAAATCTGTATGAGTTTTGCTTCCTTGATTGTATGCTGCAGTTAAGAGGCTTGGCAATAGGAAACACCTGGTAAGGGGGAGTTGAAACTGTGTCGAACAGAATCCTTACTAGTTGGCCTTCTGGAAAATCAGTGCTTTACAACTTCTCATGCCCAGCATGGTAGCCATTTTGCAAGAGAACCATAATGTGGTCAGAATACCAAATGTGCCTACCATTCAAAGATTTTAAGAATTCTCAGACAACACCTGTAAGATATTGTTATATAATTGAGATATATGGAGATGTATAGAGAGCCAATATGGTCTAGTGGTTAAGACACTAAGCTAGAATGCAAGAGACTATGAGTTCAAGTCTCAGTTTAGCCATGAAGGACAGCTGGGTGACCTTGGGCCAGTCACTCTTTATTCATCCAACTCACTTCACAGGTTGTGGGGAGAATAGGAGGAGGAAAGTGTGTTAGATATGTTCACTGACTTCAGTAATGGTCAGTAATGGTTAACCTTTTTAGTGCCGAGTGCCCAAAGAATGCGCACTTGTGAGCAAATGCTCACATGTGTGTCCGAACCCCCAAAATGCAATGCAAGTGCCCCCCTATGCATGCACCCCACCCCCATGTATGCACATGTGTCAATCGCGCATGCGCCCCAGGTCCCCCCTCACCCGTTTTGGCTTCCAGATTGGTGCAGCAGGCTTTCCAGGCCCAAAACGAGGCACCGGGGGTGGGGGCAGAGACACACCCTATTTTGGGCCTGGAAAGCCTCCTGCACCAACCTGCACCCCTGCACATGTGCTCCACCCCCCGTGCATGGGCGTGCATCCCCTGCATGCACCCCACCCCCCATGCATGCACGGCAGAGATCCTAAGACCAGCTGGCCAGTGGGAGGCATGCGTGCATGTGCGGTGGAGCTGGGCTGGGGCGGCAGCTGGAGTGCCAGCAGAGAGGACTCTGGGTGTCACCTGTGGCACGTATGCCATACGTTTGCCATCACAGCCCTAAATTATTTCTAAAAATAATAAAGGCAGGATATAAATAGATAAATAAAAATAAAACACCTTGCTATTCCTAATCATCCTAATTTTGCCAGGCATAATGCTATTATAAAAAGTATATTGGTATAAAATAGTGGTTGAATTCAGCAGTCTACCTAGAAAAACTAAACTTGAATTAGGAGAAATGGGAAGCAAAGCAAGAGTAATAAGTAGGAGGGAGTTTTGTCTATACCCCCCACTTCCTTCTTCAAAGAAGCAGCTAGAATTTGTGTGATGCTGGATCAGAAAAATGGCCATTGTAGCTCTTGCAGTCTTAATGTATGCTAAAAGCAAAAGCAAAACAGCTACTTGTCTCATGGAAGTTTGCTAATATTACTACCGGTAGTACAATGTAACTTTTGTTTCTAATTATTAGATAACCTGTTCAAACCAAAGGAACGGTACATTTCAGAAAAGGAGATGCATATGCGATCAAAAAGGTAGGAGCATCCTAAACGGCATAGAGGTTTTTCCATCATGAACTTGATTATTTTCCCTTCATCTTCTCCTTTCCTCATAAGGATTCATGAATCCTCAGGTTTGGTCTGGTTTACTTTATAGCTTGATGCAAATTAAATCCATCATTTTATTGTATGGCATATTGAACGTAATCATGGGACAGTGCAATAAACGATATTAATTTCTTGGGATACAGTTTGTATTTTCTTAGTTTCATTTGAATGTGTATCACATCTATGTTATTTTGCCTTTTGTTGGGCAGCTGATGGGGATCAGAATGTTCTTGGCTGTGTTCTTAGACTGCCTGGGAGATCATCTTAGCCACTGGCTGAGATTATTCCTTTAGGTACCTTCTATCAAAGTGCAAACAGCAGCTAGCATACCTAGGGCAAAAATACAATTTGATAATAGCCAATATCTAAATACTTTCATGGGCAGGTGTGTGTTTCCGGCAGATCTACATTTTGTATTTCAAGGTGGGCAGAAAGGAGAGATGGGTACAAGAGATTCTTCTCAGAGAAGACATCCATGAGAATTATCTTTTACAAAAAATAAAATGAGAAGTGCTGGATCCTTTATATATCATTATTATATATTATATATATTTGGTTCTCCCCAAAAGTCATTAAAAAGGCACAATCCACAGTCAGTATTACATTCTGAAAATGTTGACATATTTAGAATAGATACCATAACATAAACCATAGTAGAGGACATTATGGTTTTAGTAGAACAACGTAAGTAACTGAAATGATAGAAGGTAATATTTTTAAAACATGTAGATTTACTTATTTGCCTTATTGTTCTGAACAGTTTTTACCTGCCATGCTGCCTTAACATGTGGCATATTAGATATATTAAAAAACAATTAGAGCATATTTTGAAATGCATCGTATCAAAAGCCAATTGAGAGCTGCATTCTAGAATAATTAAAGATAATTACACTATGTTTAATTGTTGCAGAATTTATAACAATCTTCCTGAAGTGAAGAAGAAACAAGAAGAGAAACAGAAACGGATAATCATACAGAGCAATAGAAAGCGGGTTGAAATATTCAAAAAGGTAAAAGATTTCCATTCGATTGTTACAATACAACCCCTCCCCCCAACTTATTATACAGCAAAACAGGAAGCTGAATCCTCAGCATTCTCATTCTATTTTTTTCTTATAGCTGACCTACAGCTTTAGCATAATAAAGCAGAAATTTCATATCCTCCATTCCTCCATTTGTGCTTTGAACATGAATGGGGAATGTAAATGAGATGACGAAATTATACTGACATTTTGCCTATAAGTGTGAAATCTTATTGCCCAGAAGGAGCATGCTCAAATTTAATAATGGGCTCAAAAACTATATGTAACAGAATTGTGTTAGATCTTCCATTGTAAGATTTGTAGAGATGGACAATTAGCCAGCTTTATAAAATTCATTTCTGAGGAAGTACTGAACAAAATAAATCTGTGTATCTCTAAAGAAAGTAAGCTCTTATCACAGTGAAGAAAAAATGTTTGTAATAAGAATACATGGTTTCTATTGTTATAAATATTATCTATTACACTGTAATTATATTATGCATCATTATTTTTACATTGTACATGTAAATTGCTTATATTATGATTCTAAGATGTTCATCCTTTGTCCTTAAAATGTTTAATGTTACAGCTTTTATATTTGCCTTTATGTTTGTTTTCCTTCAGCAATTATTGGACCAACTTCTTCAAAGAAATACAGAATGAATAAAAGATTCCTGGATACAACACATCATTCTTCTTGGAACTCCAAGGCCTTTGAAAATTAAAAAGCCATATAAATCTAGAATGACCTTTAATCACAAAGCAACCTTATTTGTTTATAGACAAAGAAAATAGCTTGTGTGTTTTTAAAAAAAAAAAAGTAATTCTGGAAAGTTACTGGATTAGATTCCAGTGAGACAGCTTTAAAATGGTTTTATGCAATTGTTAAGGTAAACATATTATTTATTTTCTGTCTTTTAAACCACAAAGACAACTTTTAAATTATGACTGCAGGATATTTAAGCTTAACATTAATATATGTATTCCATTTATACACTGCATCAAGTTTATAACTTTTAAATAAAAGGGGAAATGAATATTATTATGGTTAGAAACAAACCTATAATAGCAAGGATGACTATTTATTTGAACTTCAAATTTAAATTAATGGCTAATATAACAGGCAAATATTTTAATTTACAAAAAACTGTATTTCTGTTTCATATAATGAATAGGATACCAGTTTAAAATAATATTTAATATCTAGTTATTATAATCAAACATGTTATTTACTAAGCCATGTAATTTTGCCTTGTTCTATATTTATTCGAAGCGATATATTTAAAAACTTGGTTATTTTGATCAGTCAGCATGAAAGGTTATACAATTCAAAACAACAAATGTATGCTCCACAAATGTTTCAAATTTTTATTTGTATATTTTGTGATAAAGAAAGCTAAACTTCATTCAAATAAATAAAGCAGACCAAGCTCTATTAATTTTATTAATCTCAAAACTATTATTAAAATGCAAAATAACATTAATACATTTGTATCAGTATAATATCAGTTCTGAAGTCAGAACTGAAGAAGCTTCTTGGATGAGAAGTGAAATGTCTTCAAAGAAAAACCAGAAACTCCAGTTGCCTATTGAAAAAGCACTTTTGGGACAACATCTTTAATAGCTTACACTTTCGAACAATGTTAGATAACCCACACATAATAGGTTTTTCAGATTTAAGGATATGCCCCATACCTGATTGCTACTAAAAAAAGGAAGGAAGGAAGGAAGGAAGGAAGGAAGGAAGGAAGGAAGGAAGGAAGGAAGGAAGGAAGGAAGGAAGGAAGGAAGGAAAGGAAGGAAGGAAGGAAAACCTTTGCTACCCAAATAGACAAACAACTCATCCTCACCCATCCCCACATGCTTTCTGGTGGTGGGTGAAGGAAAGTTATTGATGTTGATATTAGTAATTGCTTAGTTGTCTAAGGCAACATCTGCAAGAAAACCACTGAACTTATAGAGCACTTCACAAGGACTTCACAGTTCAACCCTGCACTACATATATTATCTTCTATTGATATCAGTCAAAGGAACAAGCCAGCCAATTGCCTCAAAGAATCTGACCAACTGGCACTAGTAGGTAAGTAAGTAAGTAAGTAAGTAAGTAAGTAAGTAAGTAAGTTAAGTAAGTAAGTAAGTAAAGTAAGTAAGTAAGTATATTGTTGAAGGACAGTCAAATTAATAAAAGAGTTAACTTTTTATTGATTTTAATGACCTTCTCATTCATGACACAGCTGATTGTGATTTAGTTTCCGACAGTTAAAATTGTTCAAACAAATAGTTTAGTTTAATTTTAAACAAAACTTGAATTGTTTGGGATTAAAACAAATTAAGACCTTCCCCTCACCTCAGTGTGTTTGTTCAGCGTGCTCTATCCCGCTCTTCTACTGATCCAGTTAAATATATAATGCCTACAGAATTGGTTCACACAGACTTGTGGGGTCGACTCTACATTGATGAGACTGTGTTTGTAAAAAGACAAAGACATATATGATATTTTATACACACCGATACAGAAACCTGAATAAAAATGGCTGGCTTAAAAATTAATAGATTGACAGAGTTGATGTAGAAATGCTGGGCTCAACCTCATCAGAAAGCTGAACTCAATGACTTCAATTGGGCTAAATAATTTACCACCATAGGGATCAATACAGTGACTGCAATGTTTATATTAAAAAAAAATTGTGTCTGATCCTTTAAAAAATAATATCTAGTAATTTTGTTTAGTGGACTGTTACTATAATCTCTTTCCTCTGCGTAGAATGTTTTTATGCTGCTTATAGCCTGACCATTGACCTGAATCTTTCTAAACAATCATGCTACATTTATTCTACTGATACCAGAAATGGCATAACATTTGGAAGACAGTTTTGAATTTGTTCAAAACTGCTTTTTGGCATTTAAAATGTATTCATCTCATTTCTTTTGTATTCATAGATACACTAATTTTCCAAGAATGAAGATAAAATATATAGCAAATCTCAAAAAAAGCATCAAATACAGTTGTTAACAGGTAGCAAATAGGATGCCTGAGGCGAATCATTGGCAGGAAACAACGGTAATTATACACACACACATGTATACACACTGTTGTGTATATGACAATCTTTGGAAAAAATCTGGATGTTTAAGAAGTCATTGAATACTTCTGCATTTTTTTATTTTTTTGAAATTAATATTTGTTTTGGGAAAACAAAGGTTAGGCAGTAAGTACTTAAATATTGTTTCAGCTGCAATTCCAGCATACCTGCTCACATGATATTATTTCAAAGTTCCAAGTTTCATAACCTTAGTACGATATTGTGGTACAAATAACATTTTTCAAAGATCAACAAAGAATGTAAATTGTAATTGCATTCTTATTCAGTGTGAGATGAGAAACTGATTTGTAATTGCAACTATTGCAATATTGTATTGTATTTTTATAGTGTTTCCTTTATAGATATTATATGTATAGAACTGCTTGTTTATAAAAATGTTTATACATAACAGTTGAAGAAATGACCCATATGATTTAAAAATATTGTATGTTCTTATTACAATACTTTATTTAGCTTTTGATTCAATGATTTGAATAATATCCAAGATTTTATTTTAATATCCAAGATTTTCCTAGAATTATTTGGAGGCCCTTGATTAGAAGCAGGCTCCCAAACAAATTGTAATTCAGAATCTGAATTTTACATTAAATGTCTTGGACATCAACAAAGGGCGATGGCACTATTTTTTTTTCCTATTTGTTGTAACTGGATTGTTACAAACAACTAACTCTAGAAAGGCATACATAACCCTTAGCAGTAAGTGGAAGTTGAGGCTTAAGAATATTGCTGTCCATAAACTGGTAAATTAGATATCTATTTGTGTTTTATTTTTTTTCTCCTCTGACTTTTTATGTTGCTTCCACAGATGACAGTCTATTGCTAATACTATTGACTTGGTCTCTCTCCCATTATATTTCTCATTTAAAATGGGTCTCTTGGCACTCACTGATTTCTAGCTGCACCTGACTACATTTTGAAAAACATGCTTTCAATTTTCTAAAATAAGACATACAGGAAAGCTTCAGTTCCCAGAATCATCTTTTTTGCCATAATTCTAGGCCCCAGCTGGACCCCTTAAGCTTTCATAGAAAAATTAAAATAATTGACAACCAATGGTTTAGTCTGGAAATGTGACCTTCTACCCCAGAAATAAAAGAAGCAAATGGGAATAATTGGGACCATACTTGTAGAAGGGGGGGAAAGTGTATGAAGGATGATAGGTAACATTAATGTTTTATAACTTGTTTTCCTTGTTTCCATGGCAGTCCTAAATATCTGGCTAGAATTGGGGACAATCAACTGCTAATGCATGTGTGGCAGTGGTGGGTTGCCCCCGGTTCACACCGGTTCTATAGAACTGGTAGTAAAACCGGCAGGAGGCTCCGCCCACCGACCCCATCATCATCAAAACGCTTCTGCGCTTGCACAGAAGAGTGTGTGTGCACGCAGCCCCACTGCAAACTGGTAGTAAAGGTAAGCAGAACCCACCCTGATGTGTGGACTCTGAAATATTATGTAAGACTCACAACCTATACAAAACCAAAAAATATTCTCTCTTGCTAACTCCATTACTGATAGTAGTTAATCTCAAAATTCATATTGACATTGTTGTGACCTGTTGATCATTAAGTCTTCTTTTCCAATGAGATATTTTAGACAAGCAGCATCAAAATAATTGATTTAAATTTATCCTGGTGCAACTCCTGCAGCAAGGTCATCTTCAGTGTATTTGAATAGCATTTTGAAAGGAAAAAACTTCACATTCCTTTTTTTTAATTGGAACAAATTTGAACTGCCCATTTGCTTCCTGAAAGTAAACATCTGCCCTATATTTCCTTAATCAATTCAGGCTTTGACATGAATCATAATGCAGCCCTTTAAATTACTTTTAATATAATTTTGAGATTAATTACCATGCTTCCCTCCGATCATATTACTTATTGAAAAGAAATCTAGTGTTTGGAAGTTCTCTTTCAAAATAACTACACTTTTGCAAGATTAACACATTTAGCAAGTATTAAATCTTCTAGATTTTTAAAAAGCTTGGATAACAAATTGAATTTCTTCTTTCCTAACTGGGTTTGGCATTTTACCAAAACTGTAGGAGGGAAAATGGTTCAATAACCATCTTCAGTGACTTATGAAGTTGGATAGCAAAGAATATCATCTGTCTACCAGATGCAAAACTGGCATGAAGAAAAAAAATGCTCACACAGATGATAGCGTAAGCAATTATATAGAGAAGGGATCCAAGGTTAAGAAGTAGAGAAGTGTTATCAATAACTGAGAAAAATAGTTCCATTTCCTTAATAGAAGCCAATAATGCTGATGGATTAATATCTCAAAATGGATTTATTGCTCTATTAAGAGAACTTTATTAGTTTCTTTGTAACATGCTTATTTAGAACATTTTACAGTAGCTTCATATTCATTATTGGATCTGATATTTTGCTAATTATAATAAATGGGATTATTTCATGGTTGTAGTGTAAAGTCTCAAATAAAGGACAATAAAGTAAGGAACTCTAGTCTCGAGAGACACAGGCAGAGAGACAAGTCATTCAAGAATAAAATTTTACATTGATTCAGAAATATTTATTCAGAAATAAATATTTAAGGTTGGCTGAAACAGTTCTCTAGATATATTTATTTATTTATTAAATTTATATGCTGCCCATCTCACTATCCAGAATTTTATTTTTTGCCTTTCAGAGCTGCACTTTAATTGAAATTTGTAACTGGTATTTTAAAATACTGAATTGTTACTGATGTTAATCTTTGATACTATTTATCTTTGATATTTTTTATCTGGTTTCCATTTACCATAGCAGCAAAAGGTTAACACTGCAATTTCTAAAACTGATTTTGAACAATAAACCAAATTATTTAAAATTATTTCTTCATTTCTTATATTTTCATTTTAAAAGAAATATCAAGTAGTTAGTAATATCTAATCAAATCATGTTTATTCTTTGTAGCATATACAAAAACAACACAAAGCAAATTACTGTTTATTTACTTAGATTGTTTTTGCATTGCTTTTCAAATGCAACAAGGGAGAAATGTACTTTCAGATTTGCAAGATTCTGTTAACGTAATCTTATAATAAGGTAAAATTAGAGATAGTCCTCGATTTATGGCCACAATTGAGCCCAAGGTTTCTGTTGTTAAATGAGACATTTGTTAAATGAGTTTTGCCCCATTTTACAATCTTTCTTGCCTCAGTTGTTAAGTAAATCACTGCAAGTTGAAAAGTTAGTAAGTGAATCTGGCTTCTCCATTGACTTTGCTTGTCAGAAGGTCACAAAAGTCGATCACATGCCCTTGGGACACAGCAACGGTCATAAATATGAGTCAGTTGCCAAGCATCTGAATTTTGATCACATGATCATGGGGATGTTGCAAAGATTGTAACTGTGAAAAACGGTCATAAGTCACTTTTTTCAATGCTGTTGTAATTTTGAACAGTCACTAAATGTAAGTCTAGGACTATCTGTAGTGCTTCTGGGCATGCTTTCTGGCTGCACTACCTTGCAAGACTGACATAACTTTTCCCTATCTAAATCCAACATCTTAACAAAATTCATGTATGTCGCTTTCTTTTGCAGTTTTTTTTTTTAATTGGAATCATACAGTGTTTTAGATTTAATTCCCAAAAATGTGATTTACAGGACATGGTTAAATTGAATTAATTTTAATTGGGTTGTTTTAAATTCTGGCCAAAAATATTTAATTATTTTTTAAACTGTTTTTAAATTTTGTATGTTCTGTTTTTATTTTGGCTGTTCACCGCCCTGAGTCCTGCTGGAGAAGGGCGGTATACAAATTAAAACAAACAAATAAATAAATGGAAACTTAAGTGCAGCAGCGGTAAGCAACTCATTAAAGCTTCTATATGCAGGTAGTCCTCGAGTTACAACCATAATTGAGCCCAAAATTTATGTTAAGTGAAACATTTCTTAAGTGAGTTTGCCCCATTTTACGACTTTTCTTGCCACAGTTGTTACGTGAATTGTTGCATTGGTTAAGTAGCATTGTTGTTAAGTGAATCTGGAATTCCCATTGATTTTGCTTGTCAGAAGGTGATCACATGACCCTGGGACACTGCAGCCATCATAAATATGAACTAGACGCCAAATGTCTGAATTTTGATCATGTAACCATGGGGATGCTGCAACGGTTGTAAGTATGAAAAATGGTCCTAAATCACTTTTTTCAGTTCCATTGTAACTTTGAACGGTCACTAAACAAATTGTTGTAAGTCAAGGACTACCTGTATGTTTGTATTAAACATGTTAATACTATGCTGAGCAATACTTGAAAATGACACAGCTGTTTTAATGAGTTGTCTTGCTCTAAAATAACTTTTTTTTTAATTGAATATAAAGCATTCTACAGCCATGTTTTCTATATACTATTGATAGTGAACATTCCAGGCCCAACTCCATCATTAAATTTAAAAAATTCAAAATTTCATGAAAAATATGGTCTATTATATATGTTACAGCAAATATTTAAATGGCATCAGCTGTATGGTGATGTTTTCAATTTTTCTTCTCAATTACAAAGCATAGATAGAGGTTTTTGGTTTTTTAAATTCTAATGCTAATTTATTTTTCTAACATTCATATCTTTACAAAAGCAGCTGGAATTGCAAGATGCAAACACACAGTAATTGGCAACATAATTTTTTGATAAGAAACAGCACAGGAAACAGTCCTTAAAAAGGATATAAATTAAGGCAATTAAAGATCTCAAAAAGTATTTGAGAATAAATGCACAGATGTGTCCAAAAATGCTAAACCATAACATGCTTCAAATGATAAAACAGTATGTTTTCCAGTAAAAGGTAGGCTGAGAAGAGCAAAACTCATTTTATTTCTTGTATATAATACAATAGATTATGGTTTGTGTGAAATAGTTACAGTAGAGTCTGGTACTCTAGAAATGGAAAATGGATAGCAAAAGAACAATCACAACATCTGAGTGCAAAATAGAAGAAACTGTAGATGCAACTTTCAAGATTTCATCTGCTCCTGAGCTTTAGAGTTATTGTAACCTTCCAGACATTGCATAAAACTGCACCTATTTGAAGGAAGTCTTTGGAATTAAACATGCAAAGCACTATTGATTAATTGTATACCATCAAGCTGGTATTGATTCTCTGTTACCACTGTTCCAGGATAATCTTTCCTCTATTTATGCTCTTCAAGTTTTCCAATAGTGAACCCATCAATACTATAATTGAATTTGTCTGCCTTGCATAGAATGTCACAGTAAAAGCAACTTCCTGTACAGTTCTGATCTCTGTATATTTAAATATGTATCTTTTTTAAGGCCTTAATCACATGTATTGCTGTTTTGTAGTGTATTTCTTGACTGCTGGTTCTTTAACTATTGAAAGCCCATCCCAAAAAATGGAAGCTATCCATTACTTCAATTTCTTCGTTGTCAATTCTAAAGCTGTTTTCTATATCAGTTGTCATTAGTTAGGTATACTTTATATTTAATCAGTCTTTTTTATTATAATTCTTGACTTTCATTATTAAAGCTTGCAGATCATTTGCATTTTCAGCTTTTAGAATAGAGGCATAGCATAGGTCCGTGATGGCGAACCTATGGCACGCGTACCACAGGTGGCACACGGAGCCATATCGGTGGGCATGCGAGCTCAGCTCTGGCATGCATGCGCGCGCCAGTCAGCTGATTTCCAGGCCTTCTGGGCCCACCAGAAGTAGGGAAACAGGCTGTTTCCTGCCTCTGGAGGGCCTGGGGGAGTGGGGAAGGCCCGAATTTTGCTCTTCTAGGAGCCTGGGAGGGGGCAAAAACTCATTTTCTTCCAATCTAATTTTGTCCAACACATATTCAACATAAATAAATATGGAGACAGTAAAGAGCTTCCTCTCACTTAGTTGCTGAGTTGCTACCAATCTTTTCCGCTATATTCTTTCTGGACTGTAACTTCCTGTCCTATGTATAGATTTTGCATTAAGGTGTATATAGATTTTACATTGAGATGTTGTCGGTTCCCATTTTCCTAAGAACATTTTGACAGCATGACATGGCCAACTAAATCAAAGGCCTTTCAATAATCAATAAGCACATGTTGCTTTCTTTTTTGTATTCATCACAGCAATGGGGCTTCTGTTACTTGGTTTTTGACAATCTCTTTTCACATTCTTCTTTAACAGCTGCTTCAATTTTAATCCACAGTTCTTCTGCTTCTCTGTCTATGAAGTTTAGAACTTGAAGTTATTGATATTCTCATTTTAAATGGTGGGTGTATGTTCAAAATCATAATCTGTTTTATATTGATTTAAAACCTGCATATGAACAGTTTGCAGTCTGTTAGACAGTCAGCCCCTGGTCATATGTTCAGCCCCACTAAGTAGGCCAGACCAAGAATTCAACACCGTAGGAAGGTTCAAATTACTTTTATTGAGATTGACCTTAATAAGAATATCTTGTTCTGTACACTTTCCTCCTTCTTACAATTGTGAATTAGAAAAGTGTCTGCCTAAGCCACTTCTGAATATTATCTTTTTTCTGTATTTAAAAAAAATATTTCAGCCCCTTTTGCCTTAGTAATGTCAGGTGCAAGTTACCAGGAATAGGAGTTGAATTCAAAACACTGAAAGTTTATTACATGCTACCTCTACACAAAAATCTGACCTATGAATGGTCAAGCCAAATTGGCATTAGATAAGAGTCAATAGAATTAACAGAGGCTGGACTTTTGTGGGGGCACAGCAACTCCAAACTGATGGGCATCTGACCCTGCCTTTGAGCTCCACCTGGTCCTATGAGTAATGGTTCCTGCATATCTTCCTGAGCTCCCACTGAGAATGTTAAAAATAGATTTGTACCTACTGGAAATCTTTCCTTAATGCCACTCTTAAAGAAACCCTCTCTTCAGAACACATGGTAAAAGTGCTCCTTGGTGTTTTATAGAACCATGTTTCAGACATTCCTTCATATTTTCATTTGGAAATTCAAAGATTTTGAACATGCATATTTATGGAAAATGTTTCCTTAAAAGTATTCTTTCCCAGTTCCATTTGCAGATGACTTATAATAAAAGAGACTCATTACACTGTCTGTTTGAGCTTCTTCTGAATATTATCGTGATGTTCCAGAGTTACGAAATATGAAAAGAACATTCCTTGGTTTTTCACATGTAAATAGTAAGCAGTATGTTCTTTACGACTATCACTTTGTTGCTTGTACCTTATGATTTATACTGATTGTTTTTATTTAGTATCTTATGACCAGGGGTGAAAGCCAGCAGGTTCTGGAGAACTGGTAGCGGAAATTTTGAGCAGTTCGGAAAACCAGTAGCAGAAATTTTGAGTAGTTTGGCGAACTGGCAAATACCACCTCTGGCTGGCCCCAGGAGTGGGGAGGGAATGGGGATTTTGCAGTATTCCTCCCTGCCACACCCACCAAGCCACGCCCACAGAACCAGTAGTAAAAAAAATTGGATTTCACCACTGCTTATGACTATCTTATGTTGTATCTTATGTTTCATGATGATTGTATTATGACTATGATCATGATTTACCACTTGTTGCTTGTATGAACACCGAGAGCTTATGTACCAGACAAAAATTCTTTGTGTATCCAATCACACTTGGGCAATAAAGAATTCTATTCTATTCCATTAAAAAGAGCCCAAATCCAACCCATTTTAAATAGCTGACGCCTAAAATATTTCACTGTGTTGACCATTCTCATGTTAATGCTTCTTAGGTTTCACTATAATTCTGTGTTTGCAATTTCAGATTCTCTTTTCTTTTCCTGCATGGCAATATCAGTCACGAGATGTCTTGAAGACTTTAATCTAGTCAAGTCATAAATACCATTAGTATTCCAAAAAAGCCTCAGCTTTTCCTCAGTAGCTGTAGAAAAAGAATAAGAGACAATTTTGACAATGCAATGCAAGAAGAGTTATATTCTTGCTAATGCAGCTTAGCCCTGAAAAAAGGAACTCTACCTTGATTTTTCCATGGTATAAGAGGAAGAAGAAAGAAATTCTGTCAGGTTTTCATGATTCTTCTATCATAATTTGTAACAGTAAAATAGATTTCCAGTGTTTCCTGACTCTGGTTTTGAAGACCTGATAATAGCTTGTAGAATGCTGTCTCATCTGATGGGTCCATTATCCAATACCATATTGTCAATCACTTCAGACTCTCTTTCCATTCGGTTTTCTTGAAAAATGTAGGTGTGGTTTACTATTGCCTTCTCTCATGCAGTTGACATGTTGCCTTTGCAATTCTCAATAAAGTGATTATCTGCCTCCAGCATCTTTGATTATTTCTGTTGCCCAACATAGGTGGCATACTTGCTTTACCTGGCTAGCTGGGATGACCAGACTTTGGGTGACTTTACTATGAGTATGGGCCCTTGGCAGATGTTCTTTGTTCATCCCTCCCAAGAGCATCCCCCTCCCACCACAATGAGTAGCATAACAGCACTTGATGGGATTATACTGCCAGAAAAATAGCCATGGAAGTCCATTGCAACAAAACTGTAATTTTAGTACATTTTGCCCAGAGACTCAACATACACCAGCAAACCTTCATGCTGTGAAATCCAATTAGACAAAAAAAAAAGTGAAACAACATTAATGCATGGCAGAATCGTTTATAACTGTAACTGAGTGTCAACTAGAATATTCCTTATGACCACTTTTCTAAGGAGCTTTCTGGTTTGGAAATCTTCCCTAAATTCTATTGCTACTTACTAACAATGTTTTATATGTTTCATAGTAAGTTAAGTTGGCATGTTTACTGCAGTCTCAGTATCTCAATCCCTTATTGAAATATGTGCTCTCTTCTCTGATTAGAAAGTGTAGTTATTCAAGTTGTACTTCATACCGTAGAAGTATAAGGACTTGCCTAGAAATATTTGTTAATATAACTTTTCTAGTTAAAAAGTAAATATTAGAAAAGAATTTATATTTGAGCTTGAAGCAAAACTGAACAATCACTTCATAAGGAAGCATGTGGGTGATGGAAACAAAGTATGGCAGGTAACAGACATTGAACAAGCAGAAACCGGCAATATTTCAGAAGCATACAAATACAAAATAAGGGGCTCAACAAGCAATAAAAAAAGGGGGGGAGGTCAGACTGAAGTCCAAAAGGGTTGTTTTTAAGTTATTGTATTATCTTTAGGCTATAAAGTATTTTACAGAACAAGTACTTCATGACGTAAAGTTTTAACCTATTCAGAATCTCTATGTCAAGGTTCCAAGTAACACCCCCAATGAAAGAAGACTCCAAGGCTAGAGGTTCCTCAAAGTTCCATTTTATTAGAGATGTCATATTGGCACATCTGGGAAAACCCGAATCTGAAAGCTTCCAGGTTTTCCCCACCCAAAAGATATCTCCACCACTCCATGCAATCCCCCCTCCCAGTTTCCCACAGCACTAAATGTGGCAGCCCTGAAGATCCAAAGAAAAAGATAGCTTCTAGGGCTGACACCCTAGGAGAGAATGGGAAGGCATCAATGGGGGGATTCTACCATTTATACCCAGTTCGGACAAACCGGTAGCGGCGGTGGGAGGTTCCGCCCACCCACTCAGATGTCATCACGGACACTCTGCGCATGTGCAGAGGTGGTGCGCGTACTCACAGTTCCAAACCGGTAGCAAAGGTAAGTGAATACCACTATTGAAAGGCATGCTATTATTAGTTTATTATAGGACTTTCCCATCCCAACCCATGGATTCAGTGAGAGATAATCTTTCTTTTGGCCATTGAGCCTACCATGGAATAAAGAAATGATAAGATATGAAATATGTGCCTATAATCTTCAAAACATATGCTGAGGTTCTCAAAAAAAGAATTAAATATGCTAAAAATGGATATAAGGGAACACAGACTTTTAAACCATGATGATTGTTGAAGGTAAACAGATGTGGATCAGTAAACTACCTGTACTGAAACTTTTTTGGGGGGGAAGGAATAACTATTGAAGAAAACATTTAAATTATCTGTACTCATGGGTATCCTCCAGATGGTTTGAATATCATATTTCATCAAATCCAACTTGCTTGGCCAATGGCAATGAATTGTGGAAGCTGCAATCCATAACATCTGGAGGTCATCAAGTGGTCCATGCCTGCCCCATTATATATAAAAATATTAATTTGGACAAACTCCATTATAATCTAATCTGAAGTAAGAGAAAAAAGCCAACAACAAAAGCCTGTACTTAAAATACAGATTCTCAATCAAACAGGCTGCTCAGTAGTAGAGGTGTTGAAAATGACATTTTCACAATGTATGTGCTATTCCCTTTCTTAACTGAATAATTTAAATTATGCTTGGTGGCATTCTAGAAGTTCTACTTAATGATTTTTAATATTCATTTCAAATGTGATTTTATTTTCGGAAGAACTTACAAAAGGCTATAAATGCATTATCTTTTTTTCATAATGTTTCATGGCGGAGCTGTTACATTTATATATTTATACAAAATTTTACACTGCTTTATCATTCTAATATGAAACAGTGGTTTGGCAAAATATCCCTACAAAGCCTCCAAGCCTCTATCATTCCAGAGCATGAATCATTCTTTCTGAGATATAGAGCAATTGCTTTCATTATTGATAATGGAATCTTATAGTTGTCTATGAAGAAGTCAGACCTCATCAATACTATTGATGCTAGCTGAATGTAAGATTGCAGCCAATTTATATTGATATCTTTAAAGCATGCATAATCTTGGGTTATCTAGGCACAGCTCCACTCTTCTATAAAACAAAGGGAACAGTTTAATAAACATGCAAGTCAAATAAGGTGTGATGAATGGAATGGAATGGAATGGAATGGAATGGAGTAGAGTAGAGTAGAGTAGAGTAGAGTAGAGTAGAGTAGAGTAGAATAGAATAGAATAGAATAGAATAGAATAGAATAGAATAGAATAGAGCAGAGCAGAGCAGAGCAGAGCAGAGCAGAGCAGAGCAGAGCAGAGCAGAATTCTTTATTGGCCAAGTGTGATTGGACACACAAGGAATTTGTGTTTGGTGCATAACTTGTCATTGTACATAAAAGTCAGTGGTGGGTTCCTACTGGTTTGCCCCGGTTTGGGCGAACCGGTAGTGGCAGAGGGAGGCTCCGCCCATCTGCCCGGACGTCATCACGAATGCTCTGCGCATGCGCAGAAGCGCCGCGCTTGAGTGAAGCAAGGACACGCGTGCTCACAGTTCTGAACTGGTAGCGAAGGTAAGTGGAACCCACTACTGATAAAAGCTGTAAGTGATAAATCATGATCATAGTTATCATAAAAATACATTCATCATAAATCATAAGATTAGTGACTAATCTTATCATAAGATTAGAACACTTAGTGATAGTCATAGGATACTAAATAAACAATCAACATAAATCGTACTAGGAAACCAAATAAAACAATATAAATTATAAAGATTTAAGTAAAGATTAGTCTTAAAAAATTAATTTCTAATTGATAGGAATCTTCCAGAAATTTTCTATACTCAAAGACTGATATAATGCAATGGTCTGGCTCAGACATAAAAATACTGGATTAAGATCTGGGGTTTATTAGATGAGAGTAAATCCTTTGTCCAAACACTTTCTTTCCATTTATGTTTCCTCTCGCTTTTCCAGTAGAATGAGGACTTCCAAGGGGAAGTATTGAACCATAATTTGAATTGTAAAATGATACATTAACTTTATAGACTGCAATATATAAGCATCTGCAAACAGCATGATTCTTTTACCTTCTATTCCCCCTTGAAATAATTCTCAGTAAATTAAGGAAGGACTTTTTTTTTAGCCTTAGGCATGGATATAATTCAAACTCTTCCCTCTGCAATACTTAGCTTACTAAAGTCTCATGTACTATAACCTTAGAATGCACAACTTCTTTACCTCCTGGAATCTGTTTGGCAATCTCATTTCATCTATCTATCTATGAAACACAAAGTTATTTAAAAGAGAAAAAAACCAGAACCAAATAAATATAAAAAAGGAACATAAACATAAATAGGCAGGAAATATATTAACAGATTCATGTACACATAAAAAGATTTGGGTAAGCATTTCAGTGAATAGCCATAATCAGCTACAAGAGAAATGGATACAATGAATAGCCATATTTCATTATAATTATAGCTAATCTATATTAATAAGTGAATTGTTTAAAGTTGCTAAAACATCAATTTTGCAAACCACCGAGTAGTTGGGACCATATATTTATCTTTCCAGTGCTGAATAAGCCTATCATCTCTAAGTAGGTCAGTGAAAATCAAATTTCATTTGTCCAGGTATCATTTTTCATCAATAGCAATATATTTCAAAGGAATGTGTGCATCTGAAAATATTAAATCTTATCATAAAGTTCAAACTTCATTTTTAAAAAAATAATAGATGGAAATTATTCTGTCAGGTGAATCTTCATTTTAGATACTCTTGATTGACATTAATTTTATTTTGCATATGAAAGTATCACAAAAATAAGTATGAATTATGATACCAGAGTATTGAGTAACAATGTGATAATTCTAGTTAAATTGGTGAGGAAGAAAAGCAAACCCATTGCAGAAAATAATAAAACAATTCAAACTTGCCTTATCAGATTTGGCATCCATGCTGGTCAAAGGCAGAAAAAAAATATTCTATATTCATTGATTTGGTATTTCAACTTACCAAATGAAATGATTCACAGAGACATTATGACACTTCTGGTAACTTGTAATTATTTCAGAAATATACTATAGTGTTATTGATAACATTAAAAGAAATGATGGGATTGATATATTAAAACCTACTTGAATTTGGTCACATGTTGTTCGATTAACCCAAATGAACTGAAAAAAGTTCCTAAATGAAATGGCTTTAAGAGGCTAAATTACATGAAGAATGACTGAGAGAACAATCCATTTTATTTTATTATTTATTATTATTTTTATTTTATTATTTTATTTTTACATGGCCCGTCTTCCCTTTAAGGTGACTCTGGAATCTTTATCCTTTAAGCATGAGATCAGTCAGCTATTCTAGTCCATGGGAAAACACCATAGTACATTTCCCATTGCTTACTGTTATAATACAGGTAATCCTTAACTTATGAGGTCCTCATAAGTTAAGGTCCTCAACTGAACCCAACATTTCTGTTGTTCAGTGAGACATTTGTTAAGTGAGTTTTGCCCCATTTTATGATCGTTCTTGCTGGAGTTGCTTCAGTGAATCACTGAAGTTGATAACTTAGTAACCTGGTTGTTAAGTGAATCTGCCTTTCCCATTGACATTGCTTGTCGGAAGGTC